AATCAATTTTGGGTGAAAACATAAAAGCCCATTTATCTTGGAAACTAAAAGAGGTAGAGCCTAAATAAAGATAATCTGTGATCACTTTGATTTCCCAACGAAAATGGATTATTTGAGTGAAAACATAAAAGTCCATTTATCTTGGAAACTAGAAGAGATAGAGCCTAAATAAAGATAATCTATGATCACTTTGATTTCCCACCAAAAATGGATTTTTTGAGTGAAAGCATAAAAGTCCATTTATCTTGGAAACTAGAAGAGATAGAGCCTAAATAAAGATAATCTGTGATCGCTTTGATTTCCCACCGAAAATCGATTTTATGAGTGAAAACATAACAGTCCATTTATCTTGGAAACTAGAAGAGATAGAGCCTAAATAAAGATAATCTGTGATCACTTTGATTTCCAACCTAAAATCGATTTTATGAGTGAAAACATAAAAGTCCATTTATCTTGGAAACTAGAAGAGATAGAGCCTAAATAAAGATAATCTGTGATCACTTTGATTTCCCACCAAAAATCGATTTTATGAGTGAAAACATAAAAGTCCATTTATCTTGGAAACTAGAAGAGATAGAGCCTAAATAAAGATAATATCTGATCACTTTGAATTCCCACCAAAAAAGGATTTTAGTGAAAACATAAGAGACCAAAAAAGGATTTTAGTGAAAACATAAGAGCGCATTTATCTTGGAAACTAGAAGAGATAGAGCCTAAATAAAGATAATCTGTGATCACTTTGATTTTCCAACAAAAATCGATTTTATGAGTGAAAACATAAAAGTCCATTTATCTTGGAAACTAGAAGAGATAGAGCCTAACTAAAGATAATCTGTGATCACTTTGATTTCCCAACAAAAATCAATTTTGGGTGAAAACATAAAAGCCCATTTATCTTGGAAACTAAAAGAGGTAGAGCCTAAATAAAGATAATCTGTGATCACTTTGATTTCCCAACGAAAATGGATTATTTGAGTGAAAACATAAAAGTCCATTTATCTTGGAAACTAGAAGAGATAGAGCCTAAATAAAGATAATCTATGATCACTTTGATTTCCCACCAAAAATGGATTTTTTGAGTGAAAGCATAAAAGTCCATTTATCTTGGAAACTAGAAGAGATAGAGCCTAAATAAAGATAATCTGTGATCACTTTGATTTCCCACCGAAAATCGATTTTATGAGTGAAAACATAACAGTCCATTTATCTTGGAAACTAGAAGAGATAGAGCCTAAATAAAGATAATCTGTGATCACTTTGATTTCCAACCTAAAATCGATTTTATGAGTGAAAGCATAAAAGTCCATTTATCTTGGAAACTAGAAGAGATAGAGCCTAAATAAAGATAATCTGTGATCACTTTGATTTCCCACCAAAAATCGATTTTATGAGTGAAAACATAAAAGTCCATTTATCTTGGAAACTAGAAGAGATAGAGCCTAAATAAAGATAATCTGTGATCACTTTGATTTCCAACCTTAAATCGATTTTATGAGTGAAAACATAAAAGTCCATTTATCTTGGAAACTAGAAGAGATAGAGCCTAAATAAAGATAGTCTGTGATCACTTTGATTTCCCAAAAAAAATGGATTTTATGAGTGAAAACATAAAAGTCCATTTATCTTGGAAACTAGAAGAGATAGAGCCTAAATAAAGATAATATGTGATCACTTTGATTTTCCACCAAAAATCGATTTTATGAGTGAAAGCATAAAAGTCCATTTATCTTGGAAACTAGAAGAGATAGAGCCTAAATAAAGATAATCTGTGATCACTTTGATTTTCCAACAAAAATCGATTTTATGAGTGAAAACATAAAAGTCCATTTATCTTGGAAACTAGAAGAGATAGAGCCTAACTAAAGATAATCTGTGATCACTTTGATTTCCCAACAAAAATCAATTTTGCGTGAAAACATAAAAGTCCATTTATCTTGGAAACTAGAAGAGATAGAGCCTAAATAAAGATAATCTATGATCACTTTGATTTCCCACCAAAAATGGATTTTTTGAGTGAAAGCATAAAAGTCCATTTATCTTGGAAACTAGAAGAGATAGAGCCTAAATAAAAATAATCTGTGATCACTTTGATTTTCCAACAAAAATCTGTTTTATGGGTGAAAACATAAAAGTCCATTTATCTTGGAAACTAGAAAAGATAGAGCCTTTATAAAGATAATCTGTGATCACTTTGATTTGCCACCAAAAATGGATTTTATGAGTGAAAACATAAAAGTCCATTTATCTTGGAAACTAGAAGAGATGGAGCCTAAATAAAGATAATCTGTGATCACTTTGATTTCGCAACAAAAATCGATTTTATGAGTGAAAACATAAAACTCCTTTTATTTAGGAAACTAAAAGAGATAAAGCCTAAATAAAGATAATCTGTGATCACTTTGATTTCCCGACAAAAAAAAATGGATTATATGAGTGAAAGCATAAAAGTCCATTTATCTTGGAAACTAGAAGAGATAGAGCCTAAATAAAGATAATCTGTGATCACTTTGATTTCCCACCAAAAATGGATTCTATGAGTGAAAACATAAAAGTCCATTTATCTAGGAAACTAGAAGAAATAGAGCCTAAATAAAGATAATCTTTGATCAGTTTGATTTCCCAGCAAAAATGGATTATTTGAGTGAAAACATAAAAGTCCATTTATCTTGGAAACTAGAAGAGATAAAGCCTAAATAAAGATAATCTGTGATCACTTTGATTTCCCACCTAAAATCGATTTTATGAATGAAAACATAAAAATCCATTTATCTTGGAAACTAGAAGAGATAGAGCCTAAATAAAGATAATCTGTGATCGCTTTGATTTCCCACCAAAAATGGATTTTATGAGTGAAAACATAAAAGTACATTTATCTTGGAAACTAGAAGAGATAAATCTTAAAAAAATCTATTTTATGAGTGAAAACATAAAAGTCCATTTATCTTGGAAACTAGAAGAGATAGAGCCTAAATAAAGATAATCTGTGATCACTTTGATTCCCCACCAAAAATCGATTTTATCAGTGAAAACATAAAAGTCCATTTATCTAGGAAACTAGAAGAGATAAAGCCAAAACAACGATAATCTGTGATCACTTTTATTTCCCAACAAAAATCTATATTTTGAGTGAAAACATAAAAGTTAATTTATTTTGGAAACTAGAAGAGCTATAGCCAAAACAGCGATAATCAGTGATCACTTTTATTTCCTAACAAAAATCTATATTTTGAGTGAAAACATAAAAGTCCATTTATTTTGTAAACTGAAAGAGATAGAGCCAAAACAACGATAATCTGTGATCACTTTTATTTCCCAACAAAAATCTATATTTTGAGTGAAAACATAAAAGTTAATTTATTTTGGAAACTAGAAGAGCTATAGCCAAAACAGCGATAATCAGTGATCACTTTTATTTCCTAACAAAAATCTATATTTTGAGTGAAAACATAAAAGTCCATTTATTTTGTAAACTGAAAGAGATAGAGCCAAAACAACGATAATCTGTGATCACTATTATGTCCCACCAAAACTCTTTATTTTTAGTGAAAACATAAAAGTCCATTCATTTTGGAAACTAGAAGAGATATAGCCAAAACAACGATAATCTGTGATAACTTTTATATCCCACCCAAAAATCTATGTTTTGAGTGAAAACATAAAAGTCCATTTATTTTGGAAACTAGAGAGATAGAGCCAAAACAACGATAATCTGTGATCACTTTTATTTCCCAACAAAAATCTATATTTTGAGTGAAAACATAAAAGTCTATTTATTTTGGAAACATAGAAGAGATATAGCCAAAAAAACAACTATAACATGTGATCACTTTCATATCCTACCAAAACTCTTTATTTTGAGTAAAAGCATAAAAGTCCATTTATTTTGGAAACTAGAAGAGATATAGCTAAAACAACGATAATCTCTGATCACTTTTATTTCCCAACAAAGTTGGTGAAAATATAAAAGTCTATTTATTTTGGAAACTAGAAGATGTAGAGCCAACACTATGATAATATGTGATCACTTTTATTTCCCACCAAAATCCATGAAAACATAAAAGTCCATTTATTTTGGAAACTAGAAGAGATATAGCAAAAACAATAATCTGTGAACACTTTTATTTCCCGCCAAAAATCTATATTTTGAGTGAAAGCATAAAAGTCCATTTATTTTGGAAACTAGAAGAGATATAAAACACTGATAATCTGTGATCACTCTTATTTCCCACCAAAAATCTATATTTTGAGTGAAAACATTAAAGTCCATTTATTTTGGAAACTAGAAGAGATAGAGCCAAAACAACGATAATCTGTGATCACAATGAGCCAAAATAGAGAGAAATCATAATTTTACAATTAATGTCAATATTCGTAAATTTGATCTCGGTGTAACAAGAAATAAAGAGAATTAAAATTATTGAATTTAAGATTATTTTCTTACGCGTATATACATAAATGTATCTATTTTAATATTAGGGTAATAACTACCTTACATCCAATACTGTCCTGATAATAAAAAAACATATTTTTGAAAGCAATTTAGTGCAATAACTAACCGAAATCAATTTCTAAAATGCTTTTGTTCGTAATTTATCTAATATTTTTTTAATTATTGTCATATAAATCTAAAATATGCAATATGATCATGATTTATTAGAAATATCATAACAGGTATATTTATACAAAACGCGAAAAACATTTTATATTCCGTAACATTTGTTAAGGCTTTGGAAGGCCTTGCTATGGTATTTTTGATATTTGCAAAAATTGCAAAAAGTTATACCTTATTGTATAAATATTGAATACTTCCCACTGATTATGTATTTATTCTTATTTAAATCTCACCCAAATACGAATTACACATTATTCTTTTAATTGAAACTTTATTTAAATTCAATTAATTTTTTTATCGTTTTCGAATTCAGTTTAAATCTCTTCCTTAATGTTATCTTAAACATAGATTAAAAATTACATTTATACAAAAAATAACCTACTAATAACTACAACTCTGTAGTTGCAACACCCCAATATTTACGCATACGATGCTCATGCTCATCCAAGTCATCATCATCCTCATCCAAAAACGAACGTTCCTGGGTAACAGCAAAATCACATTCCAAATTGTATGGCATTAGACGTTGCAATGAGCCAAAATATGCAGCATTTGGACCGCCACCCAATTTTGAATAGCCTACAGCACTGGCCAAGGAGTCACGACTTTTGGCATCGGAAAACAAATTGTAAGCAGCACCGAAAGAACGTGAACTACCGAAGTGTTTTGAAAGAAACGAAACCTGTTGCTGCTGAGAGGTGGGCTGATGGTTGTGATTGTGTGTTTGGGTTATAGAGGGTTTCTTAACCTCCGAATAGAGTAATTGGGGAGAACTGGTGGAAATGAATTTTTGAGTATTCGATTTCAATAAATTCGATTTGTAATCATAACGTTCGACCGGGGAACGATTTGTAGATTTACGTTCAGAATTACGATTTTTGGTAAACGATTTAGAGATGGTATTGAGTTCTTTGTCAAAAAGTAATTGGGTATTTTGTTCCAGCATATATTCCCAACACTTAAATTGTTCTTCGGATAGAACGGAGTCGGTTTCATCTAACATTTCCATTTCGGTGGTTTCTTCCAAAACTCGGGCATGAGCTAAGATATATTCATTGTCATTGTCTGTTTTATGATTTATTAAGCTTAAAGCTTGATCACTTTGACCACTAGGCGAGGAACGATCACTTCCACGAGCTGCTATAGCAGCAATTTGACGCGTTGATCCCAAACGATGGCGACAATTTGTATTACGATCACAACACGCCCGTTTGCAAACATTCGGCAGTAGAGCCGAATTACTCGTCAATGTTTGAGGTTTTCGGCGCACAGTCTGTTTAAGCTCTTTTATTAGATAGTCCACATCTGTGCCAATATTTTTGAATCTTATAACGATTACACTAAGATTTTCATTCGAACCAAAACTTTGTGCAATATCTTGCACCCGCTTGGCCGCCAGAACCACATTTTCCTCTTTACGTATTTCACGAGCCATTCGATCGACATCTAAAACTGACCATATGCCTTGATTACAAATAATCAAATATTCATCGTCGTTGCCCAGCACACACTCGGCAATACAAGGATCTTTAAGACTAAGAGCAGACGAGGGCATTTTTAAATAGGAGTTATTTTGTTTTGACACCAGTTCCACATTACTAGTTCTTCTAATCAAATAAGCTCCCGCATTACCTATGCTGGCTACTCTCAGTACATAACGTTTTGTTTTCTGGGGTCTCACCATATCTTTGAGTGGAGTATTTTCTCTGGAAATATGACATAATATGGCGGCCCCTAAAGGTTGATCGCTTAATTTTTGCTGAGCCGCCAAGAGTGTATATTTCATATACTCTCCTATATTCTCTTTAACACATCTCTCCTGCTGCAGTAATTTGGGCATCATTTGAGCCATTTTCGAAGCTGCTGAAGCATGTGAGGATGTACTAACAAACATGCCAAGTAAAGCCTCGTCATTACGAAATTTACATTCTCTTAGTTGGGTCACCAAAAGTTTTCGACATTTTCCTGGGGTCTCTGAAAACCCCAACAACCAAGGTGGTTTATGTGTTTGTTGATTTGCAGCACAAGTTTCTTTTTGATGACCCTCTGCTTTTCTCGTGGGTAAATTTATACGATTTTTACCCGATACATCTACCAAGCTCCATTTTCTTTGAGTACGACACATTTGCACTTGTCTCTCATCGACCTGAAGTTGTAGATTACAAGATAAATCCAAATATTTTAGATTTTGAGGCACTACACTTATCAAGTCCAAATGATCTAAATGATTATGAGCCAAGTCTAAGACCTTTAAAGATGTCAATTTACTTAAGGGCGGTGTAAACAACAATAGATTAGAATGGACCCTTAAAACCTGCAATTGTCTCAAATTGCAAACACTATCGGGCAACTGTTGCAATAAATTGCCCGACAACATTAATTCCTCCAGATCCTTTAACTCCTTTAAACACTCATCCATTATTCCAGTAATCTTATTGTAAGCAGCATATAAAATCTTTAAATTTTTAGCCTGTTTTAAAACCTCAAATATGCGATCATCTAAATTGTTACTGGTCACAAATAATCTTTCCAGCACAAAATCTTGTTCCGTCCACTCCTCTACCACAGGAGGTAAAATTTGTAATTTATTACAGGACAGATTTAAATATTTCAATGATTGTCTTGTTATGGCAAATAAATTGTCGGTTAATAGTTGTATTTCATTACTATGCAACTGTAGCTTCTCCAGCATTTCAAAACGTTCCGGTAATCTTTCAATGATCCTCAAATTGTTGTAGGCCAAATTAAGATCACGTAATTTTTTTGTCTTACTTGTGAGCAGAAATTCGGTTACTTTTTGTAATTGATTGTGAGAAGCATTGAGCGTTTCCAACATTTCACACTCGTTAAGCCATTTGGGTAATTCGGTGAAATAGTTGTTTGATATATCGACATGATATAATTTGCTGGGAATAGGTGATATTTGATGGAGTGAAGACCTGAAAACAGAAAGTCAAATAGCTATTAAAACAATTTCTTAAAATATCACAACAATAATTAATAAACTTAGACTTAGATAATAGTCTAGTCTATAGTCATTCCTATATAGTCTATAGTAATCTAATCCTCTAAGTCCTAATAGTCTAGTCTATAGTCTAGTCTATAGTCTATTAGTCTAGTCTTAGTCTATGTCTAGTCTATAGTCTAGTATAGTCCTAGTCTATAGTCTAGTAGTCTATCTATAGTCTAGTCTATAGTCTAGTCTATAGTCAGTTATAGAGTCTAAGTCTATCTAGTCTATATAGTCTAGTCTAGTAGTCTAGTCTAGTCTATAGTCTAGTCTATAGTCTATCTATAGTCTAGTCTATAGTCTATCTATAGTCCTAGTCTATAGTCTAGTCTATAGTCTAGTCTATAGTCTAGTCTATAGTCTAGTCTATAGTCTAGTCTATAGTCTAGTCTATAGTCTAGTCTATAGTCTAGTCTATAGTCTAGTCTAGTCTAGTCTAGTCTAGTCTATAGTCTAGTCTATAGTCTAGTCTATAGTCTAGTCTATAGTCTAGTCTATAGTCTAGTCTATAGTCCTAGTCTATAGTCTAGTCTATAGTCTAGTCTATAGTCTAGTCTATAGTCTAGTCTATAGTCTAGTCTATAGTCTAGTCTATAGTCTAGTCTATAGTCTAGTCTATAGTCTAGTCTATAGTCTAGTCTATAGTCTAGTCTATAGTCTAGTCTATAGTCTAGTCTATAGTCTAGTCTATAGTCTAGTCTATAGTCTAGTCTATAGTCTAGTCTATAGTCTAGTCTATAGTCTAGTCTATAGTCTAGTCTATAGTCTAGTCTAGTCTATAGTCTAGTCTAGTCCTAGTCTAGTCTATAGTCTAGTCTATAGTCTAGTCTATAGTCTAGTCTATAGTCTAGTCTATAGTCTAGTCTATAGTCTAGTCTATAGTCTAGTCTATAGTCTAGTCTATAGTCTAGTCTATAGTCTAGTCTATAGTCTAGTCTATAGTCTAGTCTATAGTCTAGTCTATAGTCTAGTCTATAGTCTAGTCTATAGTCTAGTCTATAGTCTAGTCTATAGTCTAGTCTATAGTCTAGTCTATAGTCTAGTCTATAGTCTAGTCTATAGTCTAGTCTATAGTCTAGTCTATAGTCTAGTCTATAGTCTAGTCTATAGTCTAGTCTATAGTCTAGTCTATAGTCTAGTCTATAGTCTAGTCTATAGTCTAGTCTATAGTCTAGTCTATAGTCTAGTCTATAGTCTAGTCTATAGTCTAGTCTATAGTCTAGTCTATAGTCTAGTCTATAGTCTAGTCTATAGTCTAGTCTATAGTCTAGTCTATAGTCTAGTCTATAGTCTAGTCTATAGTCTAGTCTATAGTCTAGTCTATAGTCTAGTCTATAGTCTAGTCTATAGTCTAGTCTATAGTCTAGTCTATAGTCTAGTCTATAGTCTAGTCTATAGTCCAGCCTATAGTCTAGTCTATAGTCTAGTCTATAGTCCAGCCTATAGTCTAGTCTATAGTCCAGCCTATAGTCAGTCTAGTCTATAGTCTAGTCTATAGTCTAGTCTATAGTCTAGTCTATAGTCTAGTCTATAGTCTAGTCTATAGTCTAGTCTATAGTCTAGTCTATAGTCTAGTCTATAGTCTAGTCTATAGTCTAGTCTATAGTCTAGTCTATAGTCTAGTCTATAGTCTAGTCTATAGTCTAGTCTATAGTCTAGTCTATAGTCTAGTCTATAGTCTAGTCTATAGTCTAGTCTATAGTCTAGTCTATAGTCTAGTCTATAGTCTAGTCTAGTCTATAGTCTAGTCTATAGTCTAGTCTATAGTCTAGTCTATAGTCTAGTCTAGTCTATAGTCTAGTCTATAGTCTAGTCTATAGTCTAGTCTATAGTCTAGTCTATAGTCTATTCTATAGTCTAGTCTATAGTCTAGTCTATAGTCTAGTCTATAGTCTAGTCTATAGTCTAGTCTATAGTCTAGTCTATAGTCTAGTCTATAGTCTAGTCTATAGTCTAGTCTATAGTCTATTCTATAGTCTAGTCTATAGTCTAGTCTATAGTCTAGTCTATAGTCTAGTCTATAGTCTAGTCTATAGTCTAGTCTATAGTCTAGTCTATAGTCTAGTCTATAGTCTAGTCTATAGTCTAGTCTATAGTCTAGTCTATAGTCTAGTCTATAGTCTAGTCTATAGTCTAGTCTATAGTCTAGTCTATAGTCTAGTCTATAGTCTAGTCTATAGTCTAGTCTATAGTCTAGTCTATAGTCTAGTCTATAGGCTAGTCTATAGTCTAGTCTATAGTCTAGTCTATAGTCTTGTCTATAGTCTAGTCTATAGTCTAGTCTATAGTCTAGTCTATAGTCTTGTCTATAGTCTAGTCTATAGTCTAGTCTATAGTCTAGTCTATAGTCTAGTCTATAGTCTAGTCTATAGTCTAGTCTATAGTCTAGTCTATAGTCTAGTCTATAGTCTAGTCTATAGTCTAGTCTATAGTCTAGTCTATAGTCTAGTCTATAGTCCAGTCTATAGTCTAGTCTATAGTCTAGTCTATAGTCTAGTCTATAGTCTAGTCTATAGTCTAGTCTATAGTCTAGTCTATAGTCTAGTCTATAGTCTAGTCTATAGTCTAGTCTATAGTCTAGTCCAGGGGTCGGCAAACTACGGCTCGCGAGCCAAATGCGGCTCTTTGAGTGTGGAGCTATGGCTCTTTAGTTTCATACACATGTTTTATTTATTTTGTAAAAAAAATTTTTATATATTTTAAAATCTTTCCGAATCGATTAACGAGCAGTGTATTAAAACTAACAAAACAATTCGCAAACGTTTCGACAATATACAAAACTTTTTAACTTTGCTTAATCGTTCTGTACATGAACAAAAACATGTTCTTCTTGAGTGAAAAAGAACGAAAACAACACAATTAGCTATTCGCTCATTTCCTTCTATTTGCCCTTACAATCACACATTTGAGAGTAAATCCTCATTGAGCCATTTGGAATTTGTATTGGATCTCTAGAAACGCAAAGTTTAAAAGCAAGTTGGAAGAGTTAGGTAAAAAGTCAACTAACAAATGAAAATTTAGAGTCATTTTTGAAACTTTAAACAACAAGTTATGATCCAAACTTTCTAAAGCCATAAAAACCTATCACTCCCATTGAATTTGTTCCATGTACAAGTTAATATTGTAAGTAAATGTTGGATTCTTGAAAGTGTTAATTGAAAAGTTCTTATAAACAAATGGGTTATCATTAGGGATGCCAATCGGGACTTATATTTGGAAATCCCGGGATTCGGGATTTTTAAATAAATCCCGGAATCCCGATATCGGGATCCCGGGATTTTCGGGATTTCTAAATCCCGAAAAATATAAAAAAAATTCAAAAAATCTTAATAATTTACCGACCAAAATAACATTCTCTATTTCACATTGCATTATGAATACACTTAGTAGGTATTTACTAGAGCCCTGCATGAGTAACTCTATTTGCTACACACAATGAGTGACTCATTGCTTTGCACTCAACTCATTGTTTGTTTAGAATAGTATTTACAAAGTTTTGTTATACTCAAACGTTGTGAGTACTATCAAGTGAATGTGCAACTACATTCAAATCGAGCGAGTAAACAATTTGTTTATGTTAAAACAATACAAAATAGATTGTTTGAATCGAATGAATCGATTCAAACTTTTTCTTGAATAAATGGTGAAAATTTTGAATGCTGTTAAAACTAGTTCCTGTGGCCCGAATTCGCTGAAATTTGGTAGTCTTGAGTACAATTGATAACAAGATAATATTATGTTCGAATATTCGAAATTAAGTTCGAAAATTCGAAGTTATGTTCGAAAAATTTTTTATGCTTTTAAATTATTCTTTGAGTCCAAAAAACTAAAAAAAAAATTTTCGAAAATTCGAACTCATGTTCGAAAAAAATTTAAAGCTGATAAAACCAGTTTCCGTGGACCAAATTGGCTGAAATTTGGCAGTGTTAAGTACAGTTGATGACGCTACTATATTATCTTCAACTATTCGAAATTAAGTTCGAAAATTCGAAGTAATATTCAAAAAATCTGTTAATTTGTCGAACTTAAAAATTGTTTTGCTTTCACTCGATTCACTCACTGTATACTACTTGAATTGAATCACACAAACACTCTCATTACTTGTTTCGTTTGAATTGAGTATTGACTAACATTCCTTATTTTCAAATATACTATTCATTTCATTCATAAAACAATGAGTGAGTCAAACACAGTGTTTGAAAAAAATCAAATGTTTTAATTTATTATTTAAGTCACTCATGCAGGGCTCTAGTATTTACTTTCCAATAAGCATTTTGTAAAAAGAAAAACAAATTAATTCAAAGTATTTAGAATAAAAATCTTTCTATCCCAGGTACTGAATAGTAGAATAAAAACTTACTTTTGAGCAAAAGCTTCTTATATCTTTTAAATATAAAATATAACCCATGATATCCAAATTTACAGTGGTTTCAAAACTTACAATTTAATGAAACCTAATATTTAGATAGTATGCGTAATGAGGATCCATACGAGGCTACATAGAGCATCTGTACTGCACCTATGTACTCATGAGACCATCCGTCTTGAGCTGAATATCGGATATATGGTTTTTAATGGTCAATAGGGAAATACTACAGAACTGTTTTCTATCAATTATAGCCATAGTAATTCCACCTTTTGCCAAAGTACTAGCAATATTATTTTTAGTTATATCCCGTGTTCTCTAACCCAAATAAGGGAATTATCATCTTGCCATCTTATTGGCAGGTTGACCTCCATTATAGATTCTAATACACCCATTAGATATCCGATTATTGCCCTTTTTATAGCTTACATCACCTTAGTGGGGATGGTATATTGGGTATCTCCGGAGAAGTGCTTTTGTTTTATACTGTCCTTAAATACCCTGATAAATTTTGAAATGATCGGGCTTCTTCTGATCCTAGCCCCCATACAAAGCACAGCTTT